TCTAAGTTGTCTTATGGAAAAATGTCTCACCCTGACCCTTTGTTGGTTCTACTACTTCAAAATTTGATGTGAGGTGTTATTTTAAAGTTGTTTCTAGAGGAATGATGGGAACGTTCAGCTGGGTTGCTGCCTCTAATTTTCCATCTGGGCTCAGTTCCCCCACCCCTTGGGAATTTATTCATAAAGTTGCAATAGATGTGTTATTTGGAGGGTGAAATAATGAAAAAAGATTACTCTTGACTTAGAAAGATATATGAAACAAAATTTTCATAATAGATATGTAGCTGACACATAGTGTAAATAGAACTGGACAAGAAGTCAAGAAACATGAGTTCAAATCTTGACTCTTCCACTAATTAGTTTTGTGACCTTGGACAAATCACATAATCTCTCTGGGCCTTAATTTCCTCATCTGTAAAAAGAAGAGGTTAGACTAGATTTGTGGTCAAATTGTGTCAAATTCAAAAAGAAACAATCCCTGCTGCCTTGTGTTGACTTAGAAAACCACAAATTAACATTAGTTATATTTTTATTTATTTTGTTAAACATTTTCCAATTATATTTTGATCTGGTTCAGGTTTCACTCAGGAGTTTTGCTGACCATTTGAGACAAGTCTGACTCTGTACTAGATGTTCTCTAAGGATGTATTTTTTAATTTTGATATTAAGTCTAATTGAACATCAATAAAACCCTTCTGATGCCCATTCATGGTGTTCTTATATGTCATGTCCTATCAAGGTGAAGAAGTTTCAAGTATGGATTTAATGTACTATATGCCTGTCATCTAAGGATCAGTGTAGCACAGACTCATAAGTGTGTTAGCCACATGGAGATGAATTACTAGCAATTCTCAAAGCCCATTCCACTGAGTTATAGAGGAGTTGCTCATTTTAGCAGTGGAATAGTACCAATACTCACATAAACATGAATTGTTGAAGTAGTGAAGAATTTAGTGTAGGACATCTGGTGTCTTCTACATTAAAGACAAATATTCTTGAGTCATTATAGAATTAGTGTTTTCTTGTAAAAATTAACCAGATTTATTCCACCTCTAAATGTAGCATTTTGAGATAGATTAATACATGTTTTAGATAAATTTCTACCCTTATTTGCAGTCATTAGGAAACCATGCTAATCTTTTGAACATACTTTATAGATTGTTAATAGTATCATCATTTTTAATGTGATACCATGTGAGAGAGATACTGGTTATCAAAATGGCCTGTTTGTGAACTTGAATGTTTTGATAAATTAATACTAATTTATGGATTAGTTAAAATTAAACACTGTAATAATAAATATATTGCCTATCTGACAGAATTGTTGTGAGGACATGCTATTATCAATCTGAGTTATTCTTTAAACCTGAAAGTGCCACATTTAGTATGCTGATATATGTTAGTTCCAAAATAAAACATTGTGAACCTGAGAGATATTAGTCATTCTTTCAGCTTTTCAGCTTGAATGTTTTCCAAATATGAGTTGTTACCTTTGTTTTGACTAGAAATGAATAGGACAGCCGAATGAAATACTTTCACATTTTCTTATAAATGAAAACCTTTCCAAAGTCAGAATATCTAGTTCTCCCTGGGTCATAAGAATTAATCTTTCTCTTTTCTATGTGTCAAATTATTAGATAAAAATATTTGGAAGTAGTGACACAGAATAGGTGGATTAGTTTTAAGAGAGTAGTATATTCTGTTTAATGTGACTCATAATCAATCCTCAAGAGGAAAATATAACTCCTGATTTAAAAGAAATCCATTACAAGCAGACAGAAACAGCCATTGCCTCCCACATAGTTTTGCCAAATAAGTTCTTCAGTCTGTTCTCACCCTACTTCAGGCTGGTCCTCCACAGATTTCCTGTGCTAATCAGGGATGCTTCAAGTCAAGACTTGAATGGGAATGTGGCCAAAGAAACACCAGGTGTTCTGAGAGGTAGCATCAGTGAGTCAATTGAGTAGGATGTCAGGTCTAAACGAAGAAGCTGGCAGGGCTCTGGGGCATAGTGCTCACTCTAGAGGTGCAACCTTTCCAATAAAATGAACAAAAATACACACATAAAAGCAGACTTAATAGAATGACTATCCATTTCACCCCATGAGTGGTTTGGGTGGGTAGATAATGTACTCCATTGAGAACCTGCAGAGTTAATGAAGATATAAAATGCAAAATGCATGTAGCATTAGTGTTTCTAAAATATGTACTTACATACTTTATTAAATTACAAAATATATGAAATACATTTTATAAACATGTATACATTTTATATGAGTAAATTGCCATTCTCTTGCTTGGCTAAATACTAACTAGCATAAGTGTATAATATATGGTATTTGCCTAGGAAAAGGAATCTTTTCCAAATTCTCTTTTCTATATCTAGACCTTTTGTATGGGTGAAAAAATATTTTGTCTTATTATTGACATACCCTTCTATTTGTCAAAGTAAGCAATGCTCAAACAGTCTAAGGCTTTGCTGAAGTCACAGTGTCCTCTGGAGGCATGGCTTTGAATGTGAAAACCATATCATATTTTTATAGTACTTAATAAAAATGATTATGGTAATTAATGATGATGATAATAGATGACATTTACATAATGCCTTAACCTTCCCAAAGCTCTTGACATATTATAACATTTAATCCTCCTTTGAATCCTGCAAGACAAATGCTACAGGTATTATTATCTTCATTTTGTAGATGAAGAACCTAGGGGTTTGAGAGGTTACACTTAAGGTTACGCAACTAGTAAGCACCTGAGGCAGGATGCACACTCATGCGTCTTGACTGCAAGCGCAGTGTTTATAAAGTCTTGTATATATTAGCTGTTTAATAAATATTTGTTGATTGAATTAATTCATAATTAGTGGGATGAATTTAGAGTAATGTTCTTTTGTAGCATTGGTTCCAGTACCATAGCACCCACCCTTATGCCTTCAAGTTTCAAAATAGCAATTGTATGAGGTGCTATATCCAAACTACAGGCTGGCTATGTCTACAGTTAGTGTACTTGAACAGAAAAATCTGATCAATTAAATCAGTCCAGCTGATTGGTTGAATTGACCACTTATTTGACTGAAGTTTTGTCAGTTATTTCATCATTTTTACCTTAGTCTTTATGGAACAAAATTACCATTCATTCATCCTTGATTTGCCTTACTTTGTTTGTTTTTGCTTTATGTTGTACCTAAACAGTTTTTCATTCCCAAAATTCAGGAAACCACCAGATGTAATTCCAAGATATATAGATGGACTCAAGTTACTGTGCATGATAGAAACATGTTGTAGTAGATAGGAGGAAGGGCTTGGCCTTGGAGTCAGGAACAGCCAGATTCAGTTCTTTCCTATGGCTTTCTCCAGCTATGTGGCCCTGGTCAGTCACTTCATCTCTGAGTACCCCATGGCAACTCTCTTGTACTATAAATAGCAGATAAGTTGCAGACTGGCATTAGTGGAGGGAGTTTCTACAGTAGGAGTTCCCCCACATGGATGAAATCACAGGCCCAGACCCAAAACAAAGCCTGTGAGTAATAGGTGTTGTACTGCAATCCAGTTCTCAGAAAAGGTCTATGTAGGAGTAGCCTCTTCCATAGCTGCCAGTCCAGTGTTGTGGCTGTTGGTGGGGAAGGAACTCTCTTTGCTGCTGTTACCTCCAGTAGTATTTTGTTACTATCACTGTCTTCATGGCTAAATATACAGGGTGACCCCTATAGATTTATTAGCAATAAGAAACTTCTTAAATCCAGATCTGGAATTGACAGAGACTCATACAAATGGAGTACCTAGATAACTAGTGGAGTGATAGGATAATACCACCTTCTTCTTCTTTTCCTTCTCCTTCACCTCCTCCTCCTCCTCCTTCAGAAAGATAGATCTGGTGAGGTTAAAGCTTCTCTAAGAGGCCAATCAGTATTGGGTCTGTGAGTAGCCACTGCCCTTCTAGCCTGAAGAAATAGGGAGACCCAGTCTTTAAAAAAAAAACACAACAAAAACATTTTGGTAGCTGTATTGAGAATGGATTAGAGTGGAGAAAGACCTGGCAGGTAAACCAATTAGAGAGCTAATGTAGTAGTCCAAACAAGAAAAAACGAAGGCTTGAACTACAGTGGTAGCTCTGGGAGTTGAAAGGAGGGGAAGTATTTTTCCATGGCAAAAATGACAAGATTTGCCAACTGATTGGATATTTGGGATGAGTGAGAGTGAAGAGTGAAGGAGAGGCCAAAGTTGCAAATATGGGAGACAGAGAGGACGGTGGTCCTTTTAATAGTAATAGGGAAGCTGAAAAGAGCAGAGAGTGTTTTGAACATGTTGAATTGATATGCATGTTTACACTTTTTGTATCTCTTTGGAGGAATATAACTTTGCATGTATCCTTCTAGGTCCTGTATCGGCCCATCCCCTTATCTCTATTAGCTGATATACCAGTTAAATGGCACTTAGAATTCTTCCATTTCAGGCAATGTTAGCACTCTATCCTCTCTCCTCACACACACACACTTGTTGCTCACTTGTAGTACAGTTGCTCAATGTATGCTGTAAATGTCATGTAAATTTTATTAACCCACTGGAGAGAGAATTTCTTATTCCATGTCCTTATGTTTTTTTATATATATATATATATATTTTATTTTTAGGCAATTGGGATTAAGTGATTTGCCCAGGGTCACACAGCTAGTAAGTGTCAAGTGTCAAGTCCCATCTGAGGCTGGATTTGAACTCAGGTGCTCCTGACTTCAGGGCCGGTGCTCTATCCACTGCGCCACCTAGCTGCCCCCATGTCCTTACATTTTTAAAGGCTCAGAAAGGCAATGAGCAGCATTCCTCCAACTAAAGTCCAATAAGAGTATTGTGAAGAGAATTCTGCAAAACTAGACAAATTTGAAATGCCCTGAAGATACAAAAAATATCAATGGCCACTGAAATTGCAAAAATAAACCACTTTGATTGCATAGTATTTTGGAATATTCATCATTTCGCTTTTTTTTCTTTTTGGAACAGATAAAGACACAATATCTTATATCAAGCAGATCTTTACAAATCCACATTTGGACCTGAATCCAGAATTTAACCCAAAGATCAGATACTACCACTCTGAAGTCCCATTTGATGTTATAACAGTAACAATTGGAGCAGAGACTTCTAATTGCCAGTGCAAAGTACATCTGGATGAAAAGGCAGGGCCAAGGTATTGGGGCAAAGACGTACAAGTATTGAATGCTTTCTGAATGATGGGAAACTACTAATAGATGTTTAACTCAGACTTTAAAGTTTCATGAAATATTGAAGATCTGAGAAGCAGGATCAACTGGGGAAATGACTGGAGTGTGAAATCATTCTTCTGTCCAAAGGACATTAAAGGAATACATCCACCTTTATTGATTATACTTCACTTATCTACTCAATCCATATAACTTTGGAGAGGTGGTATGGGACAGTGAACAGAGTGCTGGACTTGGAGTTAGGAAGACCTGGTCTCAGATCCCACCTCAGACATTGGTTCCCTTGGACACTTGGACCTTGTATCTGTATGATGAGGGCTAGAAAGGATGACCTCAAAGTTCCCTTCCAATTTTATATAATAATATGAACTAAGATCACCTAGAATTTCAATTTGTATTTTGGAAAAACTACACAGATGTATTAGGCTATTATAGAGGATCTTGTTATAGGTAATAATCAGGAGAATCTTTTAAGGACCAATCTTTGCTTAAGGCAAAGGTTTTTTAAAGGCAGCAATCTTAAACATTTCGGTCTCAGGACCCCTTTTTATACTCTTAAAAATTATTGAGGACCCACTTACACTTAAAAATTATCAAGGAACTCAAGGAACTTTTGTCTATTTAGATTATGCCTATAAATATTTAAGATATAAATTAAAACCAATACAATTTATTAATTCATTTAAAATAATAATAAACCCATTGTATATTAAATACATGAATAACATATTTTGTCAAAAATGACTATATTTTAACATTATTTTAAAATAACATATTAATAGTAAATTACTGTGTTAGTAAATAACATGTATAAAACAAAATAATTTGGCAAGAAGGACGGTATTGTTTTACATATTTTTGCAAATCTCTTTAGTGCCTGGCTTAATGGAAGACAGCTGGTTTCTCATATCATCTTCTGCATTCAATCTGTTGCAGTTTGTTGCTTTGGTTGAAATATATGAAGAAAATATAGCCTCACAAAATTATATAGTTGGAAAAGAGAGGAGTATTTTAATAGGGAAGGAATGTTTTAGTATTATTATGAAAATCATTTTGACATCATGAACCCCCTGAAAGAGGCTCTGGAACCTCTAGGCCAAGAGCCAGACTTCAAGAACCATTGGTTTAATTAACATTTCTGATATCTGTCCATTCAGCTCAAGTCAACAAGCATTGGTTATGTGTCTGATATCTGGAAAGCATGTGCTAGCTGTTGGAGATCCAAGACAGATCAATGAAACAGGCTCTGCCTTCATGGAGCTGCTTGCAAATATTCAGGAGGCTTCACTGTGGGGCTGCTTGTAGAGCTTGTTGCCTATAATTTACTGACCAGGAGGTCAGGTTTTCTAAGTCATTGGTACATTTTTTTCCTTTTTATCAACTATTTCAATAGTTCAAACTATTTCTGGATTTAATTGTGAAATTTAGTTAAACCCCACTAAATGCTAGTGTCCATGACAATGATTTTTTTTTACAGATTCTTCACACTATCTTGAAAGAAATATATCACCTACATTTCTTTGGCCCAGAATTTAACCTGAGGATCAATTAATATGAATCAGAAATTCTATTTGAAGTAGAAACAGTGAAAATTATTATAATATACGTCCTTTCATATAATGATAATAATGGCTAACATTTATATTTAAGTTTAAGGTTTGCAAATTATATATATATGTATATATCCTATAAATATATACATATCCTATAAACATATATATGCCATATACATATATCCTAATTTAATCTTCACAGCAACCCTGTGAGGTAGGCACTGTTATCATAGCCATTTTATAGTTGAGGATACCGAGACTGAATGTGGTTAAATGACTTAGGGTCACACAATTGAGGTAGAATTTGAGTTTAAGTCTACACTGATTCCAAGGCGAGTACACCATCTACTTTGCCACCTCACTGTCTCATATGCGCATGGGGCATATGATTTGACCTGCAGAATAAATCATGGCATAGTCAGGATTTTACTGTATTTATTTATTATACATTCCTTTGAAAATTATATACCCTTCATAACTCAAAAGTCATCTGCTTTCTGAGCATATAGTTAAGTGTGCAATAAAATGTGTTGATTGATTTTTTAAAAGTCAAATGGCATTATCTCTTATTTTTTTCTTTCTCTTTTTTCAGTTTTGCAAATTATCCTCTAGGGTTAGGAATGAACAAAATCCTAATTCTTGTGGTAGATGAATCTCAAGCAAATGGCGAAGTCCTCAGCACTTACAGACTCACGGTTTACCGAGAAGACCGCCCAAGTCTACCCTTATTCAGTGACTACATGGCATGCGGTTTTGTGCAGGTACATTTTAAAATTTCCATTTGGTTTATCTGAGTGTGTTTTGTGTGCCCATGAAAAATGTTTAATAAGGATGGATCATGGCATTTTGAGTGAATTTAAGAGCAAATTGTAGTGGAACCAAATGGAATAAAAGTTCCTAAATTTGTATGTGGGACATGTTACAATGATCATTTGCCTTTATTGTTTCTATGATGCTCATCCTAGGTACTATATTTATCAAGAGAAATATTTTTTAAAAATGGCACGAGTTTGAGAATTTGAACTGGTAAGAACGTTGGTATCATCTTAACATTTCTGTTAAATCTTGCTAGTTTTCTTGGATTATTCGTGTTTGGGTGCATATATTAAGGGAAAATATTTATGAAGTGCTCAGTAGAGATACATGGATGGAGAGAAAGCTGTAGTGATATTTAAATAAGTAGGTTCATATGTTGACGTATTCCTTACTTATCTTCTCTTGACCTTCAGTACTGCTAAGAAACTTCAGTTGCTTCTCTCATTTATCTACTCTCATGCATGCTTTTTTTTTTGCCACTAGTGTCATTTTGGAAGAGAATCCCATTTTTTTAATCTCATCAGTCTGCCTTGGTCTTCGGTTCTCTTCTTCTCTCCTTAACCTTGGTTTCTGGATAAGATCATCAGTTTTCAAGAAATTCCCATAAATGATCTCCTTGAACTTCAAATTTATAGATTTGATGGAATCTATAATTCTAAATTTTCATTTAGGTTTAATTTAATTTTAATTTAATTAATTAAGGTTTAATTCTAAATTCATCTTTCCTTTATGCTCTAGAAAGTATTATTTCAAACAGGTAATAGGAAGTTCATATGATGGTAATGGGATCTCAGAAGAAAATGCATGTTGCTTCCCACCATCAAATGTAAATTCCTTGAGAACAGTCTGTCATTTGCCTTTGTATATGAAAAGCCTGTCACCTAGCAGACATTTGGTATCTTATTGATTGTTACCTGTTGATTGATTGAGAGGGCTAATAAAGGTCTTATGGAATATGAAAGAATGGCCAGCTGTATGGGTGCTGTGTCTTAGGTGAGCTATTCAGTATAGTGCTCTCATCTGTCTGCATTACATCATTCTCCAAATTTCAGTCTGATTCAGATCCTTCAACACAGATCTTCACTCCCCAATGAATATTGTTAATCTCCTATTTTTACCACCTATGACTTCAAATGTAATTCCATATAAAAAGATAGAACATGGAATGAAAGATTAAAATATGGTTAACTTCGGGTTGTCTATGTGATTCACTTTCTAACTGGAAATCAGTAAATAGAGCCAAAGTGGAAGAGGTCAGGACTCAATCAAAAAAAAAAAAAGGAATTAGTGTGGGTGTGATTGCATTTTAAAATTTAGATACAAGTAAATTTGGGATTATAATTAATAATAACATTTCTATAATAATAGCATTTCTATAGCACTTTGAATTTTGCAAAGTGCTTTACATATACATTCTCATTTGATCCCCACAACAGCCCTGTGAAGTAGATGTTATTATTATCCCTATTGTACAAATGAGGAAACTGAGGCCCAGAGAGGTAAAATGGTTTGCCCAGGGTCATACATCTAGAAATTCTGTCTGAGATAGGATTTGAACTCAGGTTTTCCCTGTCTCCAAGTCTGAAACTCTATCCACTGAGTCACTTATCTGCCAAATCTTTCTTCTCATGGACTATATAATTTCTTTCCTTCACAAAGAAAATAAAAGGAATGCTTTAGCTATAAAATGAAACCTGAAAATGTATAGACATGAAACAGTGTTGAGAGTGATAGATAGCATTGTTTTCAGGAAATTTTAAGGATGTGGAAAATGGGCTCATATCACTTGAGAAAAACATTATAAAGTATTCAAGACAAAACAACAGTTCTTGTTAGTGCATGCTTACAATGTTCTGGTCTTGAATAATCTGGTCTTGGAAATGTATTTGAACTTTCATTATTCAAATATACAGTAGAAATTAAAGAGGAGAAAGAAGAACCTCTATCATAGTTTAAACAAGATAGCTTTGCTCCCAAATAGCTATTGATTTCAGTGCTGGTGTAAACATGTATGGTGTCATCATATAATTTTTTGTTATGAATTTTCATTGCCCATAGGGGCAATATAGAACTTTTATTTTTCCTGGGTTTAATGTTTTGAAATAATAAACCACGGGTTAACATTGTAAGTAAGATTTTTCCCTGGCATTGACATGTAATTTTGTGACTCACTAAACTTAAAGAAACATGGTTGACTGCTCAGTATTCTAGTAATTCCATGGAATACTCTCCCATTGAAATGATTGATCATTTATTCTTCTGGGTTGGAAGTCATTTTTCTTTTTGGCTGAATGGAGTAGTGGAAAGAGCACTAGGCTTGGGTTCATATCCCATCACTAATATTTTCTAGATTTATATCTGTGGGCAATTCACAACCTCTGAGTTTTAGTTTCCTTACCTTCAAAATTAGGACAATAATATTTGCATTACCTACTTCTTCGGGTTTTTGTGACGATCAGATGAGATAATTATTTTTAAAAGTTCTTTGCAAATAGTAGAGTGAATAATAAAGTGAATTATAATTATTTTACATGATAGAAAATTTTATATATTTATATTATCTTTTAATATTCATAAGATTAACAAGAAAATTCAGAAACATATTTCAGGAATATGCATATTCCATACATGATCCACTATGGAAAGACTTTAAAAGTTAATATTTTTAATAATCAATTACCCGGTATGAAGTTTATGTGGCATAATTAAGTGCTTAAAGAATCCTTTGTCTTTTTAATAGATTTTATTGATATCTTTTGCTTTTGTATGTTTAAATGTCCTTCATAACTCACCTCTTCTTTCCCTCTCCCATACAACCATTCCTTATACCAAAGCATTAAAAAAAAAAGAGAGAGAGAAAAGTCAACAAAACCAAATTTCAAAAGAATCTGGTATTACATGTAATGTTCCACACCTGTAGGTGTCACTGCCCCACCTCTGGAAAGGAGAAGGGACGGTCACTTCTCATATAACTTCTTTGGGACAGAACTTGTTCTTCATTTTACAGCACTCATCTTCCATTGCTTTGTGGTTGTTCTTTCATTTAAATTACTCTAATCATTGTGCCCATTGTTTTCCTGGCTCTCCTTACTTCTCTTTGAATCAGTTCATGCACATCTTTTCGTGCTTCTCTCTATTCATTATTTTTGTCATTTCTTACGGCACAGTCATATTCCATTACATTCATGTACCACCAATCCTTAATTGGTGGGCATCCAACTTTGTTTCCAATGTTTTGCTACCCTTATAAAGTACTACTATAAATATTTTAGTGTAAGTTGAATCATATGTTGTAATTGAAATTTTTAATATATAAGATACTCATATGTTAACTATGATATTATGGTACAGAATGATCATATTTTATTTCAATATGCTTTAACTTATTTTTTATGTGTTCTGGTTATATAAAATAGTTAATTTCTTTAAAAAACTTTTTAAACTATTGAGTAAATTATTTCTATAATATTTTAGAGGCATTCTAATTAATATATTATCATTTATTCAATATTTATTAAGGACTGTCTAGCTAGTTCAACATTAGCTAGAATGTACTGCAAAAGTATAGTGAGATTATATTCCCCGGGACACAAGTCCTTTGTGAGTGACTTGCTTAAACTTCAATATCGTCTACTTGAAACCACTTTTTCCAATGTTGTGTTTATTGACCAGAAAAAGATCAATTGACATTTAATTACATTAGAACCTGTTCTATTGAAATATATTGCAGAATGACAATCAGATCACAATGTCTAAAATGATCTTCTGAGGCAGAATGTTGCTTCCAGTAATAATCTCCTTGAGGACAGAGATGATCCTTCATTTTATTTGGTATTTTTAGTGTCTAATTCAGTGCCTTGCATAAAGAATATTTCATAAGTGGTGATTTAATTGAATTCAATTTAGTAATTTAGTACTCTTAGTTGAGGTGATGTAAAGAAAAAAAATCAGAAAATTTCCATGCAGGATAAATATGCCAAGGATTGGCCTGTATATTCTTTTATATATTCACTCCCATCCATTTATAAGAGTCATCTTAATCTTAATATTTGACTATTGATATAGTGGTAGCATTGTATACTAAAGAGTATCTTGTTTAGATGGCTGAGTGATATCTGTGCTTGTAGTAATGGGTCACCTGTTCAAGGGGCGAAAAGATAAATCTGGTATAAACTGATGGGGATTCCTTTAGACACTTGGCTAGGCACAACTGACAGGCATCATCAGGAAAAGGTCAATAGCAGTGGTATGGTCTTTCTCCCAGCAGGATTCATTTAAAATTCTAATCCTGAGGCTTTTCCCCAACTCTCTTTTATGTTTTATCCCACTAGGATATTCTAATTTCACTGCAAACTGATACCATGATGAAGGTTACAACACAAAGAAGTAGTCATGATGATGTCTCCCCTTTTCTAATAATTCTTAAGCATTTGAGAAATATGAGATTAGGTTCAAGGCTATTCAGTTTGATGTTTTGAGCTTTGAAGACAACTAGAACATCAAAATATTATCTGTTCTCCCCGCCCCCTCCCCCCATGTCAGCAACTCTACAGCCTCATTAAATTAGGAAGGATGAACTCTGGAGTCATCATTTCAGATTAAGTAAATTTAGATTGCTTTTTTTGCAAGTGCTTTGCCTACATTTGTTTCATAAAAAGCTGAATTAAATTTTAATTGTGTTATATTACTAAGTGGGAAATTTTCAAGTACCTCATCATACACTAGATTGAATTTTGGTTGCCATAAATTCTGTTATTAAATTCAACATCATCCTATAATTGCTAAAATGAGAATTTAGCCAATCATTGAGTAATTAAAAAAACTCCCAAAAAGATAAAACCAATTTGTTAATTATCCTCATCTTTTTTGTTTCTTATTGTCCCCTTGTTGCTAATTAACTATTTCACTACCAAAACCTTTTGGAAAGGGAGGCTGGGGAGAGAGA